TAAATTGACAATACCATAATTTGTCTTTAGTTATTTCTTTTAAATTAATTAAAAGAAATTGCAATTAATTCCAAATGGGCTCCAAATTCTAATGCTAGCTAGCTCCATCGCTGTCGTGTAGAATTTTAGTTTGTTGTGCAGAAAAAGTCAAAATTGGTGTATATATAATTATAATTATTCCCATGTACAAGCCAAATTAGGAGCTTTATTTCTCAAATGGCGGTCTGCATTTATAAGTCAACTTTAACTTGTTTAATTGTAACTTAGTTTAATTGTCAAACTTAAATTATTGAACACTCACTCAAAGGTAGGTAGTACTAACCTCTATATATATATATATATATATATTAGCAGATCCAAAGCATTTATATATATATATATATATAATATTAAGACAGAGTAGTCCTTTGTTGATTGCGAGATGAGAGGTTGTTAATATAATGCATGTTGAACGGCCATGCACTGAAATTCCAAGTCTTGGTAAATTAAAATGGCGCCAACCATTTCAGACCAGAAAGAAGTAGCAATGAAGATGCGGGACAACAGCTGTTCATGCTGATCCTAACATGATCCTAATTAATATATTATATACATATTTGAGGGGCTATTCTCATTTCAATTTTCTACTTTTGCAGTTCAATTTTAATTAAAATGACAATTAGAACTTTAATTTTATAAATAAATTATTATTACTTTTTAAATGACACCACTATTCTTTTAAAATTTCTTTCCTTATCTATAATCTTTAATATTTTATGCCTCTTTAAAAAATTAAAAAAAAAAATTGTTTCTTTTGACCTAACCAAAAGTAAAAAAAAAGCAACCATTAAAATAATTATCGCTTTTGACACAAAAAAAAAAACTCCCAAAAAAAAAATATTTATTGAAGAAATTATTTCTTTTGTCAAGATAAAAAAAAAAAAGAGAATTAAAATAAATATATATATATATATAGAATAAATTATCTCTTTTGATAATATCCAAAAAAATATATATTTCTATTGAATAAATTATTTCTTTTGATGGGAACAAAAAAAAAAAAAAAAGTCAACTTTGTTAAATAAATTATTTGTTTTGATTGCACAAAAAAAAAAGTTACGAATAAATTATCTCTTTTTACTGTCAAAAATAAAATTATTAGTATGAAATAAATTATATTCTTTGAGAGGACCTCCGCAAAGAAAAAGAAAAGAAAGTATAACACAGGAAAAAAAAATAGTAAAGGAACTAAAGAAGGTAAAAAAAAAAAAAATTTAAAGTTATATAAAAGATAGAAATTGCATTATAAAATAAAGGTACAGGGCATTAATGAATAAAATGATCTTCTTGTTATTTTCTTTAAAAGAACTAGATTAGTAAAGTGCAATTGAAAAAAAGTGATATGCCAATATTGCCCACCTTCTTATACATACATATATATATATATATATATATATATATATATATATATAACTTGTTTTGGTTGATTCAAATAATATATATCTTCCACTATACGTGAAAGATGATGCATGTGGCATGCAATGGTCTTCTGAATTAGGTAATTATGACAACGAGATGAAAGATTATTTACGGTTGGAAAATTACATGGTACAAAATATAGAAGAGAAGTGATTACTACGTATTTGTTAATAAAAAATTATAAAAAAAAGCTGGATATAAAGGTTGATTTGATATTTGTCCCGGTCAGGGCGGGACCTTAATTAACTAGTATAATTAAAGATGGCATTGAATTGTATGAGCAAGTTGGTACGTGTTTTATTTATTTATTATTATTTTTTTTTCCAAGTAAACGTGGATGATTTGTCTATTTCAAGGTGTGTGTATATATATATATATATTAATATATAAGAGAAAGAAAAAAAAACAAGAAAAAAAAAAGATATATATATATATATATATATATATATATATATATCTAAGAGGCACGTTCCATGGCTGTCTTTCCACTTGCCCACCTCTGATTACTAATTAATTAAAAAATAAATATTTATTGTTAACATATCTCACTCCGTTAATTAATTAGAAAGAAGCTTTTCGAAAAAGAAAATATAAAAAATTAATTAGAAAGATATGTAAGATTTTTTTTTTCTGACATCTATTAATTACAATAGATTTTTACTTTAATTGCACGTACTCTAGTATCCAAAAGTAGATGGTGTTGCACTGTTTTTTACAGAGCCTAGACAATTTGGTTACCGACACATTTATTAAAACTTAAAAGTTTGGGGTGAAGTAGTTGAAAATCATTTTTTTTTCTTATTAAATCAATGTTGATTTTAAATTCAAATTTGATATATATATATATATGAGGGGGCAATTGGTCCGTTGAATTTTTTTTAGTAATATACCCTTGCTAATTTATTTTTTTTCAATTGTATACTAACAAAATTTCATTATTACTCCATTGAAATAACTAACAAATTTCATTATTGTCCCTCACATAATTTCCTGGACCACACATATATATGGAATATGAAGCTTAGGAGTTTTTTTATTTTTTATTTTTTATTTTTATTTTTATTATTATTTTTTAACCTGGAATGTTTGGGATGACACGAACCCTTAGGACCCCTTAACAACTTAACTAATCTCCGAGGACCCAGAAGGGCGTCTCTCCATCCAAGGCGGGTAAGTCACTACAGGGACAGTGGAGGTTAGCCACAAAGAACACTCAGCGGGACTCGAATTCCAAACCTTAGACTTACTAAGCTTTAAAGTCCAGCGAGTAAACTGTTAGGCCATATCTGAAGTGGTAGGGCGGAGTCAGGAATTTAAGGTAAGGGGGCAGATTTAAACTATGTAACAAATTTTTTTTTTAAAAAACTTATAAATCAATTGTAATATAATTTATTTTTAAATACTGATGATAGTATATATATCTTGAGAAAATTCAAAAATAAAAAAATACAACTTGGACACAAAATTAAAATAAAATAAATAAAAATAAAAATTTATGTTAGAAGAAAATTATGGTGAAGAAATGTAAAGAAATAAGCATTGTTAGAAAATTAAATTTCCTTTAACAATTATTTTAATTTTTTAAAAATATAATTTTTGGAAGAAGAAAATTAAGTAGATTCCACAATTCAACGACATAATGAATTTTAAATCAATTTAAAAAAAAAAAATTCAACAAGATTAATATTGATTTATTAAACAAGATACAAATAGTTATAAAATTTATTATTTAGAAAGTAATAACTAAAAGTATATAGATAATATTATTATTGTTATTGAGAGTTTCACAATACTTTAATTTAGCCTCTTTCCAAATATTCTTAGAACTTGCCAATAAAGATTGTTATATAATTTTAGATATTTTTCTTGTAAATACCATTTTACAAAAATGTTTGACAAAAAAAGCTTCATTTTTACCAAACACGAGGGAACATTAATTATTTTATTCTTTATTTTTTTTTTTTTCTCTCTTGAATTAATATTATAGATATTATTCTCTTGAATTAATATTATAGATATTGTATGTGTATGTATAGATAAAATAACAATGTGTTGAAATAACAACTATAATAATTATTTAAATTCCAAAAAAAAAACTATAATAATTATTTACTAAAAAAAAATGACTATAATAATAATGAGCTTAAATTTTTGTTTCATAATATTTGAGCTTTTAAAAGTATAGTTAAAAGAGTGCAAGTTGAAAAATATTTAAATATCAAAGAGACCCAAATTAAATTTATTTTCAAACTCTTAATTTTGGGTCAATATATGTGTTTTGAAAAAGATTGGGGGCCAATTGAAAATTTTAATTAATTTTAGGGACAAAATCTACAAATTAATTAATACAAAAAAAATTGGCTGGTCAATATATCTGCTAAAAATATTGGTGGGGAATTAAAAATTTTAATAAATTTAGAGGCAAATTTTGTAAATTAATTAACAATTAAAAGGTAATAAAAAAAATTCTATTTTTGAAAAAAAAAAAAATTCCAAAAATTTTGGGGGCCCCCAACTGAAATATATGCTTATAATTAACACAGTTGCTCTCCACAATCATTTCGCAATTGAAATCTCTCATGTGAATATGGGGAACCAATTCCACGTATAACACGAGTTCCACTACCTACTATCCAGACAGACATGGTCTAATTAATATGCATATATATATATATATAGGTAAGTTGGATACCTTATTGGGTGGACAATAGCTAGGTAAAAGCTATTTTTAATTTTAAAAATTAGTGGATTGGGTTTCATGAATTCAAAGACTCGTTTGTTTGGCCCCTAGTATATATAAATTATACCTCTTATTCCAAATATATTTTCTTATTTCCATACCATGAACTCCAAGTCATATTAAACCAAACAAATAAACTCATATACAAACACAAGAGGAACAGGAGGAGGGTCAACAATTCACAGCACAAATAAAAACATGGGGTAAACCCACTTGCCTACCAATTTGAATATTTTGAATGCTTTTCACGCCCTAGCATTTTGAAATAAAAAATTAACATCTTTTTATTATTTTGTAATTTTTTTTATAGTGGAACTCGTATGAAGGTATTAATTATCTATTTGTTATTATAATAATAATTATTTAACGCTAAATATTGTTAAATAATGTGAAAGAAAAAAAAAAAAACACACATAAAAACACACATAAAAACCAAAATTTTCGTTTCGAAATTTGTGGTTTTTTAACGGTCAAACTTTGAGGTGAAGTACTCCGGCTGTAATTGGAACTCAAAATTTTTCAATGGGAAGGGGGTGGGTAGGTATTGAAAACTTCGAAAACACAAGACAAAAAGTGGAAGAAAGAGCAAGTGACGAAATGGAGAACGACTGAAGCAGGTCGATGCCGAGTTGTTGTGCTTTCAATCGGAAAGACTTTGACCAATTACACCTATATTAACTTTTCTATTCACACGTGCCGAGTCAAGCCTCGTACGTGCTTGCCTCTCACATTTTTTATTATTTTATTTTTACTTATAATTTTTTTTATCTCTAGTCCTCCTCCTCCAGTCCAGTATAGTACAATGCAAACCCTATAAGTATAGCCCCTGAATGCTCGCTCCTCCCTCCATACTCAACCAACTCTCACATCTTCTCTTCTTTTCTCTCACCCACGCCACACCACACACACATAACAACTTCTTTTTTAATCGATCCGCCGCCGGAATCTATCATTCTCCGGCAATCATGGACGTCCGTCGGCGGTCGATTAAACCTGTCCACCAATTCCCATCTTCCTCACCACCACCATCCATTCTCAAACCCAAACATGCTGCGGCCAAGTCGACCAAGTTCATTGATTCCCCAAAAGCATCTGATGCTCTCCCTCTCCCTCTCTACCTCACAAATGGCATTTTCTTGACCCTCTTCTTCTCCGTCGTCTATTACCTTCTCATCCGATGGCGCGAGAAGATCCGCAACTCTACTCCTCTCCACATCGTCACTCTCTCCGAGATCGCCGCCATCGTCGCCTTTGTCGCCTCTTTCATTTACCTCCTCGGCTTCTTCGGCATCGGCTTCGTCCAGTCTGCTGGTGGTCGCTCTTCCGATGACGAAGAGGAGGAAGAAGATGTCGACCAAGTTATCCTCAAAGAGGACACTCGCCCACTCCCCTGCGCTGCCGCCGCCCCCGATTGCCCAATACCTCCTATCGCTCCTCTCAAACCCAAAGTCGCCGTCGTCAATGATTCCTCCGTACCCATTTCATCAGAAGAGGACGAGGAGATCATCAAATCGGTGGTTGCCGGCACCATTCCCTCCTATACCCTCGAATCCAAGCTCGGCGATTGCCACCGGGCAGCTGCAATCCGCCGCGAGGCACTCCAGAGGATGACCGGGAAGTCTCTGGAGGGACTGCCTTTGAATCACTTCGATTACGACTCCATTTTGGGACAGTGTTGCGAGATGCCGGTTGGTTACATTCAGATTCCGGTGGGTATCGCCGGACCACTCTTGCTTGACGGTAGGGAGTATTCAGTTCCGATGGCGACCACGGAGGGGTGTTTGGTTGCGAGTACCAACAGGGGTTGCAAAGCAATTTACGCGTCTGGTGGAGCAACCAGCGTGTTGCTGAGAGATGGGATGACAAGAGCCCCCGTCGTGAGGTTCGGCACCGCCAAGAGAGCCGCCGAGCTCAAGTTTTTCTTGGAAGACCCCATCAATTTCGAAACTTTGAGCGTTGTTTTCAACAGGTTTGTTTATATAATATAATACTGTTTGCTTACTTACTGTTTGTATAAATGCATGAATGAAACTGATTTTCTTACAATGCTAATGCTGATGTTGATTAGTATTTGTTCCTTGTTTGCTTACCTTACAGGTCTAGCAGATTTGGTCGGCTGCAGAGCATCAAATGCGCCATTGCTGGGAAGAATCTGTACATGAGGTTTACTTGCAGCACAGGGGATGCCATGGGGATGAACATGGTCTCCAAAGGTGTACAGAATGTGATGGATTTCCTCCAGACTTCCTTCCCTGACATGGATGTTATCGGCATCTCTAGTAACTACTGTTCAGACAAGAAGCCTGCTGCAGTTAATTGGATTGAAGGGCGTGGCAAGTCTGTTGTGTGCGAGGTTATCATCAAGGAGGAAGTGGTGAAGAAGGTTCTCAAGACCAACGTTGCTTCGTTGGTAGAGCTTAATATGCTCAAAAACCTTACTGGGTCAGCCATGGCTGGAGCTCTTGGTGGCTTCAATGCCCATGCCAGTAATATTGTTTCTGCAGTCTACATAGCCACTGGTCAAGACCCGGCACAGAATGTTGAGAGTTCACACTGTATTACCATGATGGAAGCTGTCAATGATGGAAAGGACCTTCACATCTCTGTCACAATGCCTTCTATTGAGGTAACTTAGTTCACCACCCCTTACAATTAATTCACCATACTTTTATTTTGAGCTTCTAGTGCTCTCGGACTTACAAGAGTCAGTCAGATCGAATCATCCAACTCAGTTTATTCTACACATATACTCCACTTGATTAGAAGAAACCACTTAATAATCATCTTTAGGATATTAGGAATGGTTGAATTCGTTTTGCTTCTGGATAAAATGAAAATTAAAGACCCAATCAAGCTGACTTGATTTGTCACTCAAAAAATAGTTTTCAAGAACTCATAAAACAAAAAACTCTGTTGTTATAGTTTTCAGAAACTGTAAATCAAGCAGATTTTTGTATAGAAAATGTTTTCAGTTGTCAGTTTTACTGAACCAAGCAGGCCTGAGTTTAGCGGGAGCTGCAGCTCGGTGATAAGTGAAGTCTTGCTCACTAAAATGTTTTTATGCCATTTAAAGTTGAATTTTTTTATTTTTTGAAGTGATATCTAACTTGGGTTTTTAAAAACATACTTCACTAGACAATCTTTTATTTTGTTTATAATTAAGTACCGAATTGAATTATCAAACAACATATACTTTACAGGTGTATATTTATGTATACTTATGAATGCATTGGTGGTAACACATTGATATATATAGGCGATAGTATTGGTTTTCATATTGCTGATTATATGTTATGTTATGTACAGGTTGGTACTGTTGGAGGTGGTACCCAACTAGCATCTCAGTCTGCATGCCTGAACCTTCTTGGAGTGAAGGGTGCAAACAAAGAATTACCAGGATCGAACGCAAGGCTGTTGGCCAGCATTGTAGCTGGTTCTGTTCTCGCCGGAGAGCTCTCGCTCATGTCTGCTATTGCAGCCGGACAGCTTGTCAAGAGCCACATGAAGTACAATAGATCAAGCAAAGATGTTACCAAAGCTTGAGCTTGAAGACCCAGCCAGCCAGCCAGTCCTCCTCCTCAATAATAGTGTCAGAGCGCTCAACAAAACGGTGTAATATTAATAATGTCAATCAAGAACAGGAAGATATATGTATAGTATAGTTGAGGTGTCAACTAAACTAATTATGGAGAGACAAGATTGTCAGCAAAAATGTAATGGTTGCATTTGTATTCTTTACTTATTTTATCAATGTATCAATCATAATTGTGTATATTTTTCTTTTTTCTTTTTCTTTTTCTTGAAAGGGTAGCGTCCAGCTCATATCTTGTATCATTTACTTATATAATCAATGAAGATATCTTTAAGTGATTACAAAGTTCAAAAGTTAGTCACCATTGTTATTATTATTATTATGTATTTACATAAAGGTTGATGGAACCAAAATCTTCTGATTCTTCTCCAATGACCTGTTCCTGCTAGAAGTATAGTATACTTCTGGGTTGGAGAAGATTCTGTTTCGTCAGAATAGGTTTGCTCTAAAACCTCCAATAAATTTTGAATGAGTCATGGGAGGAAATGGAGGATTTTCATGCAGGTTTTTTATGATATAAGGAATGAATGGGAAAAGAGAAATGAAATAAATAAATTGTTTTGTAAAATATATTTTGATGAAAAGAAAAAAAAAAAAGTGGTTTTCCTTTCCTTTACTTGGTGTTTAAAAGGAAAGTTAATTTGTTCCCCAGAAGGGGAAAAAATAATTCTTTTCTTTGTGAGATTCCCATGGAAATGAAATCAAGAAAAAATGATCCTACTTGGTTCAATTTTCTGAGAGCTTTACAAAAACTTATTTGTTGACATGAGTAAAGCCTGTGACCGTATCGAATGGGCTTCTTATTTAGCATGCTTAAAAAGTTGGGATTGAATTCTCATTGGATAAAAATGGTCTTCTCATGTCTTTCCACAATAACACACTTCCTTTTGCTTAATGAACAGCCGGTGGGATTCTTCCATCCTTCGCGGGGGTTGCGTCAGGGCGACCCTCCTTCGCCATATTTGTTCATCCTTTGTGTTGAGGCACTTTCAGTGGCATTTCAGCGGGCTCAGGAGGCGAGGATATTAATAGGAGTGAGGATTTGTAGGGGTGCACCAGCCGTTTCCCACTTGTTCTTTGCCAACGACTCTATAATCTTTTGTCAAGCTTTTGAAACTGAATTGGTTCTTTGAAGAGAATTCTTCATTCATATGAGCTGGCTTCGGGACAAAAGGTGAGCTTCGAGAAATCATGTATTTTCTCATCAAAGAATGCTAATATACACTTGCGGCAAGAATTGAGTCAGTTGTTGGGCCTGTCAGAGGAAGTTTCAAACAAAATATTTTGGAGTGCCAACGATTTTTGGGCAATCAAAAAATGATGTGTTCAAGTTTGTGCTTCAACAAATGAAAGAATGGATGGCGTCACGGCGGAAAAATACCATTTCGGTTGGTGGAAAGGAAATATTGATAAAGGTGGTGTTGAATGCCCTACCCACTTATTTTATTTCTTCTTTTAAGCTATCTCGTACCTTATGTCTAGAGTTAATGAAACAGATGCGCGCATTCTGGTGGGAAAAAAAAGATCGGCATCAAACAATTCATTGGACTCAATGGGATCTATTACATCCAATCGATTACATTATGGTCGGGCATCATCTAATCGGTTAGATTAGATATGGGGACCATCTAATCAGTTAGATCGATTGGGCAGTTGTTTGGACAAAATTAGGACACTGGAAGTGCGCAGGCGTGCCGGAGTCTCGGAAGACTCAGAAAGAATCGAACAAAAAGAACCCCTCTTGAAACGATCAGGCGATTGTGAATGGTTCTAATTTGCCTTCGATGAAAGGAGTTTGATAAAACTACAATGCTAAACTAGGGAATTAAAGTGCAATACTAAGAAGTAAGTGCTTGAAAATAAAGAACTTGTATTGAAATTGCATGAAAGTAATTGACAATGTATTGAAGTTGTTTGATGTCGTAGAGAAAGAGGCCCTACATGTAATCTTAAGTGCTCTATTTATAGGCGTGTATAACCTTTATAAGAATATCCCATGCCTTATTACAAACGGCCCCTTCCCCTTTATCATCTCTTTACAAAACACTTGTCCCACGTCCGGCTGCAGAAGCTCAATTTTCAGACCCACGAACTGCAATCCTCTTCTAGTGATGCCATACATCCCACGTTCTGGCCCAGCTTGCTTGCCTTCATCTTTTGCTTTATACCTGAGTATATATATGTGTATATATATAAGCCATGTATAGTCAAGGCGACTCTCTTTTGCCATATGCGTATAACATAAGGTTTTAACAATTTTGAAAGTGAATATAAATGGATACACGTGGATCATGTCACCTAACGTCTAAGTTCAATATGGAGCTAAGGGATCATTCTAAAGTTACCTTTGAAACAGTTTAAACACAATCCACAACAAGTATCACAATTGAACAACATTGGAATAACCAAACAATGTGGATATACTCGGACATCTCGCTGGATAAAACCAACGCAATTGGTTACTTTTGGGTTACTAGAGCTGTACTATAGCCATGTCACAACAACGCTGCCCCAAGAATCCAAAATTAACAAATTATACACAACGTATGCTAAGTATACAATGCACTTAACCACGTTCCATGCACAACCAAGTTGGAAACCACACAAGTCACGCTCTAGGTCCTCAACTACAATGGCATTTTCAACAACAAGTTCACAATATGAATTCCACTGAGCTACAACAATGTTGTCAACACAAGAATTCCATTCATGCTAGTACAAAATGAGTTTTAAATCCATGACTTAAACATCAACATAATATCAAATATACAATCAAATCATTGGCAACAACAATATAAAATTTCTATAATTACACTAACAAAATCTCTAAATTTCAAATCATCACTAAATGAACTAAGGTTAATACAAGTTAAAGATCATCCACAAGCCTTAAACAATCTAAAGCCCTAAGTTAATTTCATGCAGGATACAACTATATACAACCCTAGAATTCGAAAATCATGCATACAATGTATATTAACCTTAAGAACACATTAAATCACTATGTGTATAAACATAAGTCATTCCCTACCTCATTAGAGAATTAAACCTCTAGAATCCAAAGCAAATGGAAGCAAAGGGGAATACCGAGCAAAGGTGTTGTAGAGATGGATGTGAGGAAGCTTTTGTCTTCAAGGTGGAAGACCAAAAGCTTAAGGGAAAGGGTTCGAAATTAAGAAATGGAGGCTAGGGTTCCAAGGTTAACAATGGTGGCTCTTTAGTGGGGAAGATGAAATCTCTAACTTTTCCATAAACCCTAAGCCTTTGATAATCAATTACACTACACCAACACTACCTCTCTCTCACACACACACATCCACCCTCCACTTGTCATAATCCTAGGCCTCCTCACAAAGCTTAATCTAGGCCTTACACTTGTCATCATCCTAGGCTAACAAGTGCACCAATGACAAGTCAACAAGTGCACCAATGGAAGTATGACACTCGTCACACTTTCCCAAAATTAGAAAAGGTAATCCTTCTAAATATCTAGCAAAAATAATTGTAAAATGGTCCTTAAACAAAAATATATCAAAAACTTAATTATACAAAACACCTCGAAAAACGAAAATATTTTTGAAGAATCTATGCATCCATACCCCCAGAAAATAAAAATAAACGAGCATGCTTTTCAATGAAATTAAATCATGCACTGACAGTAAAAGCTAAAATAATGCAATGCATGTGGTATTTGAAGTCAGTTCTGGACATCGAACCTTACCACGGGCTCAACAAAACCCTAAGGCAACGCGGAAAAAGCATAAATAAATAAATAAATAAAATAATTTAAAAAATGAATGTTGAAAAAGGGAAAAAAGAAAAAGAAGACACGGTCTTCACATTCTGTTGTGGTGTTTTATACTTCTTTTTCCTTCATTTTCCATTTTTTTTCTTCTTTTATTGACAAAATTTCTTTCAGATACTTCTTTTCACAGTCCTTTTCATCATCCTTTGCCAAGTCCAACAATGCCACTGTTGAAAGAACAAAAATATCTCATTGTGGCCCTTCTAAAGGATCCTCCAACAGCATCAATTGGGAAGTCTGCTTAAATGGTAGTTTCTGCCACAAAAGAGGTGGCTAAATCTCTATCTCCCATAAAATAGGTAATCCCTTGAACAAAATATCTTTAAATATTCTTTCAATCCACTTAACACATTTTCTTACTTTTGCAAGGTGACTTGGCTCAAACTCAGTCTTCCATGGTTGTGACTTCCATGTGATCCTTTTCAGCTTTTAGTGACTACTTCTAAGCTGTTGAGTCCTTAGTAGAGGAGAGCGTGACTTCTTCCAGTAGCATCCCAGCCCCCATTTCTAGCATTACACAAACCTTTAACAGTGGACGATCCCTTCTCACTATACTAACGTACAAGTGTTAAGTAGTTTTAATAAATGTAAAAGTTTATGCCTATTTAACATATCTAAATATTAACATTTATTTTGGGAATACCAAAGAAAGCATCAATAACTATGGATGGATATGAATTAGTGAACTTTGAGAGTTATTAATATGACATATATATAAAATCTAAACCCTTTCATAAAGTAATCGGGCCTCATGCCTCAGTAAACATAGAGTGTTTGCATGAAGAAGTGGGGGGTAAGGATGAAGGAAAAAAAAAAAAAAAAAAAAATTGAAATAAATTGATTTGGTTCGTCTTGGTTTGTGTGATACCCCTCGATTCTAGAGCCACGGGTGATCAAGTCCGAGTACAGATCCGAAGGATATCAAACAATTAATATTTAATCGAACACAAAATACAAAATGAATTTGAGAAATAATAATAAGCTGAAGGAATACTAAATTAAAAATTCTCAAATATAAATATTTAAACTCTGACAATCCAAACTTCATAAGTTTACAACTCGGGAATCCATCTCCAGTGGACCCCTAATAAAAATTCAAACCGAACGAAAATAAATAACTGAAGATACAAGCCCAAATCGAATATCTGGAAAGAAGTCCTACATCGTCGGTAGAATGAAAGATCGTCTCGGCTCAGCTCGAACAAGCTCTAAGACCTCAAACATCCAATACCTGAAAAATAATAAGTGGGTCAGGCCCACTAGCAAGTTCTATACTACTACTACCCAAGCACTGACCCGATACGCATGTACATCCTAACCAATCCAACAATAACTAAATAGTCCGTAGATACATATATATATAATCACACTACAGGACTCTCACTGGACTACAGGCCCGTCTCAACCTGACTAGTAGGCACCATGCAAAACGCACCTGAGGTGGGCATGACTACCTAGACCTAGCAGGGTACACATCCAACCATCATA